CAGCTTATTGTTTTACTGCTCCTTTTTAGCTAATCACAACAATTGATTGTTAATGATGGTAGGGAAATGGGGGAGTCGTGAGAAATGAGATTCAAAGATTTCTTTCATACCTTAAAGGAGAAACTTTAGTAGGCTGCCAGTAAAAAATGTGTTTTTTTGACATATCAATCATATAGAGCAATATTTCTTATATGACACCAAATGTCTTGTGGGATTTGTCAAAGCATAAGTATACCACATACAAATTGTGCAACATTGTATTAATATGCTGTATATGCCAGTTGCTCGAATTAAAAGACCTTTGGCATTCTACAGATCAGTAGGTTAGTCAACTGGAAACTCTTAACAACAACAAACAGAATTGTGAATTGATTGTGCAGTTTCCACACTTAATGAGCACTTTGCAAATGTAGGCGCTTGAGCTGCTGACTCCCCCAGTGCCAGCCAACGCAGCGTCTAGAGCCAAGTGTCTGCAGTGTCGAGGATCTGCACTCGCAGCGCTCGGTCTGCACTCGGAGGCTGCAGGGGAATTCCATGCTGCACTCAAGCTCACCCCCGACTGTCAGGAGATAAAGCAGGCTTTAGCTGAACTGCAGACTGAAGAGAGCCAAGATGGATGCACGAGGTTTTAATCAAGTGAAAAGTAGTGAACATTATTTTGGTTTCATTGAATGATCAGGTGGATTAAACTGAATTGTTACAAGGTAAATTATATTTCTCAATTATTTTCTTAAAAACTCCTAAGCATATATGTGTATGTGTGTCCATTAGTATGATAACTCGAGCAAAAATGATCTGATTTAGATTAAATTTGGTACAAACGTGTAAACCTAAGTTTATTCAAACAAGTTCATGAACCAGCATAATCAGACTATGGGAACGAGGGTTTATGGTGGGTTTTTTTTTTGGGTAAAAAGCATAAAATTTTACGATTTCTTTCCAAATCATTTTGTAGAGGGAAAAAAGAAATAATTTAGTATATTGAAGCGTATGCCTAACGATTACGAAGATAATTCAAAAATATTTTAATTTTTGTTATTCTTATGGAGAATAAATGAACTGTTTAAGTTTGCTAGTCTATGGATATATTTTTAAATCAAATTTGACAATTTTGTTTATTTCATACTTTATTTCAACATGTCAATAAAAAAAAAAAAAACAAACGTAGCAGCAAACCCAAGCTCACATGTTAGTCACATGTTTTATTTTGACTAATACTTGCTATTAATGATTAATAATTGAAAATGTCATATGGTTAAATAAAATATAATTTTTGTTTACGTTTATCAAAGAGTTATTTTACCATCCAAGAACTTCAACTATTCATTTTGAACATAGGTGCCGAAAACTCTTAGAAATCAAGAAAATGTCAAGTAAAGGAATTGTTACAAGGTCCAAAGCAAAAATATCACTTCTAAAAGCATAAGATGGTGAAGATAGATCCAGTGGCCAGTCAGTTCCTAAGGCTAGCAAAGTCGCGGTGACAATGAATGAAAGTGCGTAGCATTAAACTAAATGGACGCGGCCACACTTAGCGACTCGTGACCACCGGCGACAGAAAAATAAACGCGACCGGGAGCGTTTTTTCATCACAGCGACAAAAACGCTCCCCATGTTATCTTACGGCACCGGCCATACTAGGCGACAAGTCGCTTGCTCACACACCCTTTGCTGCTCTATTTTCATATCTATATTGGACAGTTATGAAATGGCAGTTGTTAAATATGGAAAATATGCTTTTAAAATACCAATATTTTCATCGACAAAATAAGTGTAGACATGTTAACTTGTGTCCTGTATGAGATTTAACTTTTCTGGTTAGGGGTCTGCGGTGCACCGAAAAAGTCGGTACGGTACGGTACAAGCTTAATTACCGTCATCGGTTCGGTACAGCATTTTACACGGTACAAATTCCGGTTCGGTACAGCCTATTATAATAATAAATTACTTTCAGTTTATTATCGTAGTCAACAACGGCAGTTGGTTCCGAGCACATAAAAGTCTTATCAGATGTTTGTTTACGATCTTCATAATTTATTACTAGCGTGATGGTGCAATAAAAAACCCATTAGCAGTCCCAAATCCATTAACATTTTATCACGACAATAATTGTTGTATTGAAGTACTTCCAAGAACTGTTGAGTTTTATCACTTTTATTTCTTTACGACTTTCCCCAATTCTGTTTTATCATAAAAATAATAGTTTTATGATGACTGTTAAATGTTATCTCTAACTTAATCAGTATTTTCGTGAATATTGAATTTGCCGCTGGCCATTGCCTACTGCCATAAAACTGTTTATGGCTACATATTAAACTTGTAACTAATCTACAATCTTATTTTATAAATTAAAATATTTGTTATGGATATTTTATCTTTCTATTGACGACCATGGATATATACAAACTTTTGTCGTGATTTTAATTTCAACATCAAAATACAATATTGCACAATCGTGATATTTTAGGCCATTGACCTTTATTATGCATCCGGTATTGCTGTTTCAGAAGAGAAGCACGTTGATAAATTATAAATTGATATTCCCGTAGTTAAAAAGAATTATTTTATAAACCTATAAAACAAAATATAAAATCTTACATAAAGATAACAATAACGGAAATTGTAAAAAGGGTATAAAGATAACAACGTATTTTATTCTTTCTCTTTGTTCTTCTATTTCTTGGGTTTCCCTTCATCACGCATTCAACAAGTTGCCATGGTTACTAATCACCCATGTCGTTATCAGCTTTTGTGACATAGCTCACAGCAGGGGGTAAAACTTGACGAAAATCGGTAAATTTTTACCTATTATTTAATTACCAATGAATGTACTACTTTATTGGTATTTGGTATTGTATTAATAATCGGTCCAAATGGCAGATTTTTGTCAAATTTTACACCAAATTTATTGAAATTTCAAGGTGAATATTAATAAAACAATTATTACCAAATATTTGTATTCATTTAAAAGATTGATTTGTGGTATTGGGTTCCCCACTGAGTGCAGCCGAGCGGCACTAATGAGGGTCGGACCTTCTTGGGGGTGAACAATAGACGGCTTATCAGACCCTCCCCTCCCCCGTGGTCTGGAGAAAGCATGTAAACAAACTATTGCACAAGCGTGACTTGACATTGAGCTGCTTCAACTATAATTTTGTAAAATGAACTGTGATGTTTCAAAATAAAAAACAATAATTTGGGACCATACTGCTTAACAATAATGGACTGCAATTATTGTTGAACATTCAATCCATTTTTAACAAACTAAGATTATACGATTCAAATACAATTATAAAAATTATCTTGGTATTTTACTTGGGGTAATGAAGTTATGTAGGCTAGTGTAATTCTCGGTTCATCAAGGTTCTACTGAATAATGTTTGGCAGTGAATAAGTGTAGAATGCAATTTATAAATTCAGGGATACACACCTTTTTCACAGTTATAAAGTCTAATTGCCCAACATCAAATCTTACTCTGTGATAATCCAAATTTTAGTTTCAGAAAAAAACTTTGCAAGAATTGTATCCATCTTTATAACTTAACTAGTTTTGAAGCTGATAAAAAAAATGGTCTTTGCCATTACTTCATCATAACCTCCAGTTTTTCATTGTCATCTGCTGTGAACAGCTGTCAAAACTACACTGTCTTCTACTGAATGCTTTTATATGTTTTTAAAATTAAAAACAACTAGACATTGTGTTGGTTGGAAATAATTTACCAGTTTTGTGAAATTATCTTGTCAATAAATGTTTCAAACATGTTTATTCATAAAAACTCTTATCCTATTTTTAAACTGCTTTATCATGGCTATTCAAAGTATCTCAGAGTAAAATAGGTAAAGCCTTTATCTCAACTGTGATTTTTCTTGACACAATCCTCATAGTAGTAAAAGGTTTTGTTTTAATAATATGTGGTACAGTAATTGTTGTTAGAAAACCATGAATGTAGGATACTATCCATTTTCATAGTAATGTCTATACTGTATTAAAGTTCAAAATAATGGTTTAGATACAGTTCTGAGAAGAAAACCGCAAAAATACGGGTAACCGCGTACCGTACCGATTTTGTACCGAGAACCGAGGTACAAAATATTGTACCGTACCGAACCGTACCGACCTTAAATTTTCTGTACCGCAGACCCCTACTTCTGGTACAACAGGAATCCAAAACCTCGTATCTTTTTCAAGTGTCGTGTGTCGTCTTCAATGTCAATAGCTCGCCAAAGCTATGCTCAAACAAACAACAACAAACAACCAAAATCCACTTATTGTAGCTTCGTCAGGTAGACATTTAGTTCACATACACTTGATGAAACATACACGAAGACACATACGGACAAATAAAATACATTTAAGTAGGCCTACCGATTTGTACAACATTGCCGCGACCACGAGCAGGAACAGACTGCGAGGAGGTTCCAGTAGAATTATCTGCTCCTTTGTCTTCCTTATCAGAGTGCGGTGGTCAGCTGATGTAGATATGTTGTTTTTATTTTGGAGCATGGCGTTAAAAATATATCGTAATTTGACTGGAACTGGAGTTTTTTGTTCAGGATTTAATTGTTCAAATCCTGTTTTTTAAGATTTTGGAACTACAGACGAGGTAATAACCTTCACCTTATTCTATTCTAAATAAGTTTCGGGGCTACAACAATGGATTTTAACTACTTTTATATCTAACGTCTTTCATGTGCTGACGAAAGTGGTCTTCATGTGCTGCGGAGTATCAACTGATTGTAAAAACTTAGTTTTCTGTTGACAATTTCATGAGGAGTTCTTTGAATGTTTTTGGTTTTTATTGAGCATAACATTATATTTTTCCATTTACTATTGATTAAATCCACTTTGATGTTTTAATTTAGAAAATATTGTAAGTCAGCAATTTATATCTCATAGTGCCTAACTTATTACAAGGTTATATATAGTAATAAACACATTAAATAATGTAACGCAAAACATATCATCCCAACATTTATTTCTCTGACTGGTTAAAACATAAGTTGATGAAGATGATACATACTTCTACTAGAGTGCAAGTGACCATGTGTACTGTTGTAGCATATTATTCAACTTCTAAGTGATTGTAGAACATTGGTGTAGCTGTAAACAGCACTCAGCACCTGTAAGGAGTAGTAAGTATGTAAAAGTGAGTAGCAAACAATAAACTAAGAACCAGACAAGTACAAACATGCAGTCATAGGCAGCATCCAGGGCAGCTATAATAAATGGGCCCGGTAGACGAGGTTCAGGGGCGCAAGAGGTTTTAGGTTTGTTAGGGGCCATGTAGAGAAAATTTCTCCCTCAAAGTAGGTAGAGAGGGGCGCAACCATCACTCAGGCCAATAGCGCATTACATGCAAACCGTGGTCTGGTCATGTGACAGATTCTTGTAAGTTTAACTATTCAGTATGATTGTGATGATAAAAATTTATTATTTAACTCATATATATAACTAAAAAGAAAATCATAGAAACAAAACAAGAAGGCAGATGGAATATTTAATTTGAAATGGGATCTGTGTTGGGTTAATCTGCTTTCATTTACAATTACAAAATGTTTTCATCACTTTTTTCATTTGGATGAGTTGATTCACATCAATTTACTATCAAACAAATAGTTGAGTATATCAAGCAATAATGCATTTCATAGATCGTACAGTATGCATATAATCTATATGAACCAGCTGTTTCAATGCAGCTTTTCACTCAAAATGAATGTACAGTAATTTAATTACCCTCTTTTAGAGTGTGCTACTATTAAATGTACTGTTCTCTGTTGGTTTTTACTCTGTGATAGTTGATAGGGACTTAACAGATGCTACGGTTTACGATAAGCTTGTGTATAGTATAAGGAATATAAACATATTTTTATTCCAGCACAATCATTTGTCAGTAGTTTGATTAAACTAAGTTAGTAGATAGAAAGAGCTGGTGAGATCACATGACCAGAGCCGTCTTTATAAAATGCGAGGCCTGGGGCAATACATAATTGCGAGGCCTTGTTTAACCAAGCTCACCGGGGGGTCGGGGGGGGGTACGGAGTATCCCCCAGTTGAGGGGGGGTCTGGGGGTCCCCCCCGGAAAATTTTTGTAAAATTAGACTTGTAAAGTCGTCATTTTAAGTACTTTGACGAAAAAAATTAATATTTTACACTCTGAAAATGGGCGTGAATATTATTGCTAATTACACATATTATTGTTCCAATTCCAAAGTGGATATCATAAATAAGAGTGTACACGAAATTCTTTACAATCATTAATAAAAAAAAATTAACACTTCTCCTTTACTGTGGATTATGAATTGAATTAACACTTTGTAAATTAAACAAAGTGGTGGGATGACAATAATTAATAGTAAATGCTTATAGGCTATCTTGTTTATTTATTTTTTTGTCAAGTTAGGTTTATTGTGTTTTCGGCAGTTGGTCTGTGAAGGGTGTTTTAAAGTTAAAAAAAATATTACATAAATAATTGTCAATGAGATACTTGCAAATTTGTCATTTCTTTTACACTCTGTAAATGGCCGTTAATATCATAGCTAATTGCACATATTATTGTTCCAATTCCAAAGTGAATATCATAAATATTGTCCACGAAGTTCTTTACAATAATTAATAAAAAAATTAACACTTCTCTTCACTGTGGATTGTCGTCCCGTCACTTTGTAAATAGTAAATGCTCATAGGCTAACTTGTTTATGTACTTTTTGTCAATATAGGTTTATTGTGTTTTCGTCAGTTGGTCTGTAATGGGGGGTTTAAAGGTAAAAAAATATTACCTATAATTGTCAATGAGTTTTTAATAATAAATTAAAAGAGGTAGTATCATTACAGTGTAATTGATTCACAGTATTACTTTTTACTTTAATGACAAATATTGTTATAGGTTTATGTTTATTGCGAAATGCGAGTAGTTTACAGTCACTCTTATCCACGCTGATTATCCATTCAATCCAATAAACATTTACATCTGTAAATAAATTGAACTTAATTAATCATGCAATAGAACTTTAATGGCACCAGTAAGCGTATGACTCACTCACATTCACCGGGGTGGCTCGGTGGCTGCCGCGAGGCTCGGGTTCCGTCATCTCCGCCGAGCTGTCAAACGTTGTTTGATATTCTTTTGTGTTTTAAATGTCGTTCGTAGGTTTTTAATCGATACAACAATTGATATAGGCTAATTCATAATAAATAAGACATATTTTAGGCACATATATCTGTCTGTCCTTTATTTTTTTTATTTTCATTCCAAAACATTAACTTATTTCTAGCGATAGTAAGGCCTCGCCGGGCAGGCCTCGCTGCGCGAGGCCTTCTCCGGCGCGAGGCCTGGAGCGGCCGCTCCACCCGCTCCACCCTAAGGACGGCGCTGCACATGACCCCAGCAGCTCATGAGATATTTTTGATCTAAAACTCTCAACACAGCTAGTGCAGAAATTGAATATCCATTTCATTGTAATAAGACTCTATCTTTTTTATGAATCACCTTAGTGTATGACTCCAAACTGAGGTTGTAGAGTCTCCCTGAAGTGAGATGGAGAGGTCTGTTTGCAACAGTCTGCATCGTAATGATGGCTCGTTGTATCTCTCGTGGCTGACTCATCCAGTCACACCAGTATAACGTCTCACGCAATCTATCTGACTACAATCAAAAAGAAATCATCAGGTAAATAAAGTAATAATCACTTTCAGTTTTGAATAATTAAGTCACTTTATAGGCCCGTACACACCGGCGCGGGAACGGGAGCGGGAACGATTTTAATTCCAAGAATTTCCCGCGCGGGCAGCGTGTACCATTGCGGGATATGAAACCAATCACACCGGTGCGGTCTGCGGGAAGCGGGCACGAGGCGGGAACGGGAACACTACGGTTTCCCGCGCTTCCCGCAGCATGCAGCGTTTGCAGCGCTTCCCGCGCCAGTATTATTGCGGAAAGAAACTGAACTAATCGGTTTCCACCTGTCTGCTGTGTGGTACAACAACAACAACAACACCATGTCGTGCATAACTGAACATTTGGTTGAAGTTGTATATACGTATCCTGTGTTGTATGACCTCAATCACAAAGACTACAAGAATATTAGGAAGAAGGACAAGATTTGGGAGGACATTGGGAAGACACTAAATACATCTGGTAAGTACAATAGTAGTCGATGTTTTAATGGGTGCTGCATGTATGTGTTCTGTAGTTTATTGAATTTCACCCATATAAACCCATGTTTATACTCAATTTAAAGATTGAATTTATACAAATTGTAAACAAATCAGTTTTAATTAGGCTATCCGTTGTGTCCACAGAATAACCGACATAATCCGACAGATTTCATTTTTTAGCTATCCCTCGCTTTAGGATTAGGTTAGGTTATGTTACGGTAGGCTAGGTAATAGAAGTTTACGCAACGATTGTGTTATTATTTGTGGTATATAAATTGTTTTATAGCACGTGGCAGTACAGTATTTTAAGATAGTGTTAACGACACGAGTAAAAGATTTAAGGTACGAGCCTTGGCGAGTGTCTTTAAAACTTCTACGCGTGTAGTTAACACTATTTACGCGAGTTGCGTACTTAACTTTACCCACGACAGTGTTTTAATTACTGAAATCACTATTCATAATTTTCCAAGAGAGGTTATGTTTTTGTTTATAACCTCTCATTGCCACTGACAGTGATATGCAATGAAACATAGTATCAAATACTAAATGCACCACACAACAATGAAATTGTCATGAACAGCTGATTAGTTACAGTTCGAATCATTACAATTTTACTTCTTCTCTCTCAATTGTAGAACCTCATTGGTCCGTTACCCATGTTGTTAAGTAAAGCTATGGTGTTATGTAAGTTAACGATGCTGTTATGTGAAACTTTTCAAGTCAAAGAACTAAACTGAAACGGCTACTTTCAAAAACGGTCGTAGGTAAAACTAATAACAATAGTTGTAGTTGTGAAAATATTTTATTTTGTATATTTAACTTTAAAAAAGTTATAAACAGACTGCAAAACAAGGTGTTTAACTAAGTCTCCAATCATTCAACTTCAGTCATCCAATCATTCAACTTCACTCCTGCAGTGTTCCTTTATTAAAGAAGTCTACGAACCTCTCGCGTACAATCATTGCATAACGGGAACTGCTCTTGAAATCCGCGCTAAAGCTAGAGAAAGCACCCCCTCGTGGCTCTGGCTCTTCATCGTCTTTTTCAAGGCATGCGAAGAAGTCCTTATCGGAATCCTTTGTTCGTAGAAAGTTGTGTAGCACGCATGTAGCCATCACAACAACCTTAGCAACTTCTACCTTAACCTCCAAAGGCCTGTTGTACAGTCTCCATTTTTGCGACAGAATGCCAAAAGTATTCTCTACTATACCACACGCTCTACAAAGTCTGTAGTTGTACCTCCTCTTTCTTCGATCTTGGCGGGCTTTCCTTTGGGGGAAGGGTTTCATAAGGTTTCGTTTTAAACCGAATGCTTCGTCACCTATTAAACAGTGTGGGGTCCCTTGGCTTTGCCCAGGAAGAGGTTTTTCTCCTGGAATATTTAGTTGGTCTGTTTTAAACTTTTTCCCCATGGCAGATTCGTCAAATATACCTCCATCGCTGTTTTTCCCATATCCTCCCACATCAACGCAGAGGAACTTGTAATCTGGGCCAACTATGCTTAACAGAACAATCGAAAACTTGTATTTGTAACAAAAGTATGTTGAACCAGATTTTCCTGGGCACTTAATAGTCACATGCTTTCCATCTATGCTTCCCACACAATTCGGAAATTGCCAACGATTATAGAAACATGCTGCTGATTGTGCCCATATCTCCTCCGAAGGTTCGGGCAAGTACAGAGGTTGCAATCGCTTTATGATAGCATTGCAAACTTCTTCAATGATGGCGCCTACAGTTGAAAATCCAACTCTGAAACTATGTCCAATAGTTTTGTGCGAATCTCCAGTGGCCAAAAACCTGAAAGAAACATACACATATGTAAACCCACAGTAATATATATAAACGCAGTAAATATTTTAAATACGTTTTAGTTTAGAAACATATTTTGAGGAACCCATAGCGTTTTGGTGTGTAATAAAAGTTATAAAGGGTGTTTCGAAAGTTGACGGCCAAACATAAAAATAAGTTTTTGTTGTTCCAAATAAATAAAAATGTTTCCTCTAACAATTGAAAAGTGTTGAAGACAATGTGTTTACCAATTAAAAAGAAAAACCTTATTTTTAAAGTAGACTTATATGCATATACCAATTTATTTTCTTGAATATAAATTGATAGTAAAACACTTAATTTATCACATACATTGGTAATTTTTACTTGCGTTGTTTCTAAAACTAATAATTTATTTTCAGGTGAACAGTTGAAGAAGAAATGGAGAAATCTTCGAGACTCCTACATGAAACATCTCAAATCCATCAAGCCTACCACTGGTCAGGCCAAGAGGAACTATGTGGCGTGGCCTTGGTCCTCTCAGATGGAGAGATTCAAGCCTTTTCTTGGAATGGCCAAAACTGTCTCAAATATAAGTGCTACTGAAACTCAAGGTACAGATGTAAACAATGAGGTAGTTTTTGAACCTGATGTGGGCAATAACAACCACGACCATATTTCAGCCGATGGTCAATCTCCTGTACGTGAGCCAATTGAAATTAACAGGCCTGATAATGTAGATCTTGCCTCCGAACCCCGTATAAAAAAAAGGAAAACCCAGCCCCCTGGCAACAGCAACAACGTTGACAAAGTGGTACAATATCTAAAGGGGAAAAATAAAATCCAACTTGATGCGACTGACCATTTGATGCTGGGTTATTCCAAAACAATCAAGACTTTCTCGCGCGCAAGACAGGCTCAGATTAAACTACAGATTGCTCAGATAATCAATCTTGGTGAACTGGAGCAATTACGTGAAGAAGATCTTTTAACATCATGTAGCTCTTCAGTAGGAACTCGGCGTGACTTCGATCCAACTTATCCAAATGATGAAGAGCTCGAAGAACAAAGATTCCGTGTTTACAATTCTTTTGGAAATGTTTAACTTCATAAGTACTAACTCTTGTGTTTATAGTTTTCCTTTGTACATGAAAATTTAATTCTTTGGCATATTGGACAGTTACAATGTTAGACCTACTGAATAATTGCAGAATACATTTTTATTTTAAGTATAACATTATCTTGATGTGACAAAATACTGTTTTTATTGTCCCTAACATAAAATTAGTGTTTGCTTTTTGATTTTACTTTGTATTAGAAGTAATTTTGCCTCGAATTTAAAACTTTAATATTTGTAAACAATTACATAACAGTTTACTGGACTGTAAGATTTTTGGTACCATGTAAAGTGCTCGGCAGTTCAGTAGGCAGTTATTCCTTCTATTAAAGTTATCCGGAAGGGGGGGAAACTTTAAACCTATATATAAAAAAGATATTTAAAGAACCTGAAAAAGAAATCAATTTTTATAAAGAAAAATGGGCTGGTGGAGGGGGAAAATGCTAAATATAAGTATAGGTACAAAGACTCCCCAACTTAGCTGCTGACTACTCTACAAAGATAATTAGTAACTGTAGATCTTACCTTAAAGTAATTGCTAGTCGTTCCTCGGCACTAATTGCTTCACGGTTGTTGGTATTTTCTTTTTCAATAAGGTCAACAATCAAACTGAGTAATTCATCAAAACATTCTTGAGTCATTCTAAAATAGATGTAGAACCTTTTAGCATCATTTCTCAATTGGGGCATTAGAGTGTGGTACTCTCCAAATGCTAGCCTTCCTTTATTTATGTCATGCACCCAAAGTTTTTTCGCCTGTTCGTCTTCTAATACAGCAAGCAAAAGTAGGGCTTCTTCTTCATCAGACGATGACATGGTAAGTAAATAAAATAAAAACTAATTACAATATTTCACAAAACTTGACTCGAATCACTGGACTACACACCTTGGCATGGCCACTCACTGCGGTGTACTGGCTCCCGCTTCCCGTCTGGTAGCCGCACCTGTGTGGAAGCACGAGTTCCCGCCACGATCTTCCCGCGCAAAAATCGCATCTAAAATTCCAGGAACTGAACCGTTACCGCTCCCGCGCCGGTGTGTACGGGCCTTAAAGATGAAACGAGTTTGAAGAAGTTTCCTGGCTATGAATCTTACTATCTTATGAGTCTTACTATGATTGTTACAGCACTTGGTAATTGTCTAAAAATTAGGTACAGAGAAAAGGTTAAACACGAGTTAAAAGCGAAATCCATTACTACAAATTTATTTCTTAAACTGAGCAAACTCCTTATGTCAAAGTCATTTCCATATCAAAACTTAAAAAAAACTGTATGGTATAATTTTTAGTTTGATTTTCAAACCATCAAATAGTCATTAAAACCATTAAAAAATGATAAAGGGTGTTGTATAAGCTCAGACTGTTTTCAAAATAAAGTTAGGTACAAAAAAGGAAATGGACTCATTTTTTACAATGTTATGGCAAAGCTAGATTTATTTAAGTCTTTCGTTTTACAGTATCTGATTGCTAAAAACAGTTTTAAAATTACCTCGTTCAGTAGGATTTGGCCACAGAAGTTGTAGAGGGCAGATAAATCAAAGACTCCGGCTATGTGGATACCTCTGTTAACGTACTCTATTGCTGACAAATTTCCGTCCTGCTTAAAATTATAAATTAAAACTGTTGGCCCGAATAATATAATAAGTTACATACCTTTGTCCGTCTTCAGTCTTTAAATAATAGTCTAGAAAAGACTACAGTTTCGGATTAAAGACCCATTTTCAATTCCACATCAAATTAGTCCATAAATCTGATGGAAGTCTTCATCAATACATAAATGCACGGTGACACGTTAAGTTACGGTCTTTGACCCGAAAGTTATTCCTGGACTATAATTTAAAGACGGACAAAGTTATGTAATATATTATATTATTTATAATATAGGCCTATAATAGATAATAACAATAACTTTTTTGCAAAAATGTTTTAAACGTTTAAGTTCTGTCGTGTTTCACTCTCTCTTCATTTTTGTGTGTTATTTTTACATACTTCCAAAATACTTGAAATGGGACCATACAAAATGGCCCTTAAACTTCCAAAGTGAAAAAGTATAATCTTAAAAGGTCGTCTTATGGAGCATAGTAGTGCTGTGAGGAGAGGTGAACTAAAAGGTTTATCGGACGTTTTCAAGTTCAACCATCACCGTGGTCTGGTTCTGCTACCATGTTGGTCTAGTTTAAATTGATTAGAACTTACGGTGTTTGCAATGATAAGCGCTCCAACTGGTACTGCCAGCTGACAGAACATCATCACTAGGAGGTTGAATGTCTGATTGGTCAGTTTTACTAATCTGGATAGTACAGAAAGAGAAATATCAGAAAGGTTTATTTTATCTTGTTGTGAGCAGGTAAACCTAACACCATCTCGGTACAGTAGCATCAAGAATTTTTTTAATATAATGAAAAGACAACTTGAGAAATTTACCTATTTATTGTTTGGATATATTTCAAACATTTATTCATCCATACCAAGTTACTATTTTATATATTTTTTTATAAATGTGATTTTTTCACATTACAAAGTAAAACATAAAACTTGGGAACTACTAAGTACTGGTAATTTGAATGAACTTACTTTATTACTCTGTTGTGACGATCGATAACTTCTTTGAATCTGCTTCTCAGAACAGACAAATACACTCTATCATTTAAAGTCTTTTGGCAGCATTGATTGGAGTCAAAAATCTGATACCGTTCTAAAAATTTGATGTGAAGTTTAGGATTTATTTCGCAAGAATTTTTAGATAGACAAGTTAGACACTGAGGAATTGGGCCAATTGACTCTACCAACTCTTCACCAATCTTCTTCCTACATTGATCCAACAATTGTATATCGATACAGATTATCCTTAGTTTGACTTTCAACTTGAGTACAATAAACACCAGTTGAAGAGACCAGGCAAAAAGCAACAAGGTGTTTAAAACGCACATCATCCCAGAAATAACGGCTGTCACTGTGACTGCCGATACAGTCACAAATGATGCAGGTAGCCAACCAAAGGATAAATGGAAACATTCACCAGATTTCTCTACTTCTTGGATGTCCAGCTTAACCAAATGAGGCAAAGGGAGGCAAGCCCAAATCAAAGAGCCGATAACAATTATGCCGACTGCTATCTGAGAAATACGCTGTACAGTTCTATTGTAATGCCTCAAAACTTTAGCATAGGGAGGTTTTAGCTCAGTTATCTCAACCGGTTCTGATAGGAACTTCAGTAAGGAAAATAGACCTTTTCTATCTTTAACAAGGACTGCGTCCATGAAAATAAACATCAAGGCTGGGAAAAGATCGTGAGATCTAAAAATCATTCGCTGATTGAAACTACTTGAACAGTAAATAGTTGATGACAAAATCAAGATATTTGTTACAAATCTGCAGATGAGTAGTTTAAAATTCAATTTTCCAGTTTTGATATTGATAAAAGTGCCACACTGGAAAATTATGGGAAAAAGCTTGGTGAAAATAGATTGCTCCATCTCAAGTATCTGAAACACCAATGATTGAAGCATAAAATATAAACGTACTCTTTGGGCATTGACAGATTTGTATGTATATTTGTATGTTAAGTGAAAACAAAATCTACATCTAAAACCTCCTACTTGGATATGTAGTATTTAACAGGTTTTTAACGTACTCTATCAAACTTATTCATTAACTTGTTCTTTTAGGAATACTGTATAAACAATTTTTATTGCAGCACAATTTGTCGATGGTTTAATAAAACTAAGTTATATTTTTGATCTAAAACTGTCAACAGCTTTAATGCAGAAATTGAAAATCCATTTCACTTCAGTAGACTTTGTCTTTTTTATGAATCACCTTAGTGTATGACTCCAAACTGAGATTGTAGTCCTCCCTGAAGTGAGGTGGAGAGGTCTGTTTATTACATTATTTTTCTTCCGAAATATGTAGGACCGAATAAAACCAAAAACCGGTATCCTCAAAAAACCATCAGAAGTTTTCTATTACAAAAAAAATTTTTTTTAGTTGTTACTACGCCAAACTGTGGTTAAACGGTTTTCGTTTTACGTTAAAAGTTAGCATAGATAAATTTACTCAGCCAATTAACAGCAGATTTTGACCAAGATAAGCTTATAACAGCAGATAATTCATAGAAAATAAACTTACCATCTCCAAATTTGTCAACGGCAGCTATTGTCACTTTCACATTTTATTTCATGAAAATGTTGTCAGTATATTTTATTAGTTTAAACATGCCACTCTTGTTCAAACAGCAAAATAAATATGTTTTCCACGAACATGGAGTACAGTTTGTAACCAACTACCATATAATAAATGATGCAGTTTTCAATTGTCTTTGTGCAATAATGAGAAAATAGAACGCATCTTAAACTCTTTGAACTTGGTGATTAACTATTTATGTAAGCTTTTCTTCTAAACTGCTGCTTGTTTTAACACATTTATTGAATTTTAAATGAGCAAAAAGTGACGATAGCATCATTCCAACTACAGGTTAGGCCTTATTATCTTGAAAGACGTGTTAAGCATAATGGCTGACCATTATGTTTAGCGATTTTCAATGTTATGGTTTCTTATATCTGTTGTTTTACAAGTTGAATAACTGATCTGCCTAACGATCATGATGATCCCCTTTCTTAGTTATTTATCTCTCCAACTAGCTTCACTGACTTTTTTATCCATAATTCCCAAAATGTTATCAAACATTTGAGAAGTCTGTAAAAAGGCACTAAAACAAGGGTGAAAATAATTAAGAAACCAAACAGTAGGGAAGAGATTTTTTCTTACCTCTATATTTATTTTCACCTCTATACTATTGTTTCTTAATTAAATTCTCCCTTCTTTAGTACCAATGATCTCATCATTGACTAATTGGATACAGAAGTAGACATCCCATTTATATGGACTAGCTGTAGCTAATTTTTCGTAAAAAAAAATGTAGTTGTGTGGGCCAGTCACATAATGCGCTAGTGTCTAAAATTATATTTTCTACCTTATTTTACGTAGTTGACCAAGGTGATGGCTCATAACAGTTGCTCTAGTTCACAATTAGTCATTCCAGTAGTTTCAATTGGTAAAAAAGTTTACGTGTTTTCCTCAGAAATTAGTAATTTCAGGTCAGTGGCTCACATCAACTACAGCAATTTTGAGTAAAAAGCTGGCGACAATATTAACATGGGAATGGTACGTCTACTTATGTACGTATTAAATTTTTGATAACATATTAGATATTATTATTTAGATACAAATTTACTGAGGATGAAGGGTTACTTGGTGGCTAGGCTCTGGGTTTTAATGAAAGTTGCAGTCAAAATACCCAGGACCTAAGGACCCTCTCCATGCCACTGTCTTTTCTTTTTGTACATCTCAACAATTTGATCTCACCACTAGCATTTAGTGGTAAGACTCTCGGTGTTGTCAAAAGTTTTTTTCTTCATCTCTTCCTACACGCTATCCCAATCAACACAAGCTATACCATTCTTTACTAATCCCTTGAAATGAACCTAATAACGTAAGCTTTTACCCTCCCAACTTTTGTAATACTGTACATCACTAACTATAAACATGTATTTTACAAATTGACAATTTAAATGCAACTTGCACATGAAACCAGTAACCAGTTTTCGGATATTACTCTTTATAGTGTTTCATCAATGTTATTCATACAAATGTATTATTTTTTTACTGTATACTCAAGTGTATACTGTCTACTTTGACACATTTATGTTCAAGTTTGTTTGAAAATGATTGAAGTTTGTGGTTTGACACAAAATCGTGAAGTTTAACTTTGTCATATTGTAAATACAGAAAATCTTTAGCACATTTTTTTTTGAAATTTTCAAGCAAAATAATTTTACAAATGTTGTAAAATAAAAATCCTGAACTAAGTTGCTTTCCTCTATAGTGTACCGTACTCAATTTATTTCTAGGTAAAAATAGTAGACTGACTAACAAATTTATAAAATTGTTTATAATAGGCTATTTATAATAATGTTAGGTATGTAATTTCTTATGTTTCATTATCTAGAAAAATTATAGGCTAAATCACAAGTATAATTTGCAAGGTAAAAAATAGCAATGGTGAAGATGAAAAATGTATATTATTAACACATAACAAAACTTAAAATTTTTGAAACTCCAATGTGGTTTTGGGTCTTCTTCTTGTCAACGCCAAATACTTATGGATAGTATGTCACATTGTCCATCTTCTTTTCTTCTTTTTCACTAAACAAATCCAAACTGCATTAGAAATTTAGAAAACCTAAAAAAATTCAACTTATTGAAAAGAAGCCCTTGAAGTATAGGGTGCATCAGAGATTTCTTGGAAGCATTGTCTCCAATGGTAAAATTTTAAAATAAAATAACCTGATGATTCTTGTACTTTTACAAAGACAACTAAACTTCATTTTCTCTATTAGGTAAAATCAAATATTGTACTGGCTTAATACCACACTTTTTAAACCAGTGGTCGTTTAATTACCTGATCTGCTAACTATGTTTAGATTAAAAATAAACTCATCCAGCATACATAATACAAGGTGCGGCAAAAAACCGATCGATTTTCTGCAGCGCTGAGTTGCAATGACTGAATCATTACCTTTAAAAAACGATTTGATCGTAAACGGCTTTCCAATGAGCATACCCCCACCACCCTCAGACGACCTTTCGCTGAACCGTGCGCTGCAGAAAATAGATCGGTTTTTTTGCCACACCATGTACATGACAAATACAACTGACTAAATGGTGGATATAAGCTGAGAGACAAAATTCAAGAAGATGACTAGTGCCATTCATTCAGTGTCAGATTCTGGGTCCCTGTAATAGGGGAAGAGCTTAACAAAGTAGGCTATGGTTAGTGGGAGGGATGGGAGGGTAATCTTAACAGATTATCTACACAACAAATCCACTGATAATTTGTATCGGTTTGCCTATTTTTTGCAAGAAATTGCACACACTCTATTGAAACATATACCTATTATATAATAGTTTTACTACAACAAATAGTTTTATTAAGCATTATTCTTTTATTGACATTTGTATCAGTCGCTGGCAAATATGCAAATTACCAGAGACACTGCGCCACTGGAAATGATAGGCCCTAAATTGACACTAAGTGTAATGCATATTACTTAGATTTAGATTGGTAAAAGTATAAAAGAAAATAGTCCACTACAATGATACACCTATTTGAAGGCAAGTTTACTTTGTAAGTCAGAATGAATACTAATTGCTATTTTGAGTCAGCCACAAAGAGAGTGTTATGAGTTGTAAGGAGGATTAGGAAAGAACATATCCAACCTAAAAAGTCAGGACTCTAGATTAGAAAACTGGTTTGTGTTTATCAAAGAACGTCCCAAGTGTGCATCAGAGGTTCCTTGGAAGCATGAACTCATCAATGATTAGTACAGCATGCAGAGGTTTCATCATTGCACAAAAAGGAGAAACACTTAAAAATTTTCTAGCTATTATTTATAAAAAAACAATCAAAATATTAGTGCGATCATAGCATTTACAGTTTATACCTTTTACTTTTTTCAAGTTATTTCGGTACAGTAAAGATAAGAGAAGTTATTAGACTAAGCATTTTTCTACGATTAATATTTGTTTGCTAAAATCACAACTCACACACAAAACAGATATTACACGTTTCTTAAACCTTGTAGATTAAGTAAAACTTGGTGAAAATAATAGTTTTACAAAACATTAATTTATCATTTTCAGTCACGAGTGAAATTAATTTAGTTCTTTGAAATTATCTAAATTTGGTTCTTAAGATTGACAAGGGAGTAACTTACAACACATTGATTTATCAATTTCAGTCAAGCAAGAAATTATTTTATCATTTAGATAAATTATCTAAACAAATTTGGTTTGTAAGATTAGCTAGGGAACAAATCGTCTAGAGTTTATTCTGTCCAATAAGCTAGGAAGGGTAAGGGTCTAGTACTACAGATCTCCTAACCTCTGCAAAAAAAACTCTGTAAAAAATTGAATTAGCCTATTAAGCTTTTTTGCCCACATAATATTACGGTCAAGTGCCTGGATCTGAGGTGGTCAAAAGGGAATAGGCCTACTACTGAATACCTAATAGACCTAGTTCAATCTGTCTGCATCAGAGGTTCCTTGGAAGCATTGTCTCAACAATGTTTGTTTCAGGATGCCATTTGACATCATCTGCAGAATCAGAAAAAAAATAGGCATAGTATTAAATATATATAGCCTTATATTAATTATGTTATCATGGATAACATGTAATAAGATTATGACCATGATTTTGTGTATCAAGAATTTGTGTATAGGCCTAACAAGGTAGGTTAACCTTACGTGTTTCGTTATGTGATGTTAAGTTGAAGAGATAATATATTCTAGCTAATTTATCGAAGGAATTACTTTGACATCCGTTCTTAAAAACCAACTAATAAAACCATGGTTTAAAAAACCATTCAAACAAAAATATGTTTACCTATGAAGTGAGACTAGTTCTTAAGCCGCATCAGTTAACGTCTCAAAAGGTTGGGTGATAAATAACTAAATCAGAGATGTTACCACTGTGAGATGAAAAAATGCATGCAGAATCCATGGTTTTCATTGGTTTTTGAAGGTATCTAAACCTCTAAAGGTGAGATGTGATCTCAACTTTGGAGGTTAGGATTGACAAGATCATGGCCATGCATCTAACTTCTCCGCTGTGTCTTTGTAAATATTTATGTATAATCAGTGTTTATATTTGTAAAAATTCTATTCAACCGACAATATCTCAAGTAAGAGATGAAACACAAAAAGTTTAGCTTAGCCTAGGACTGACGATAACGCTCCGGCGTAGAAACCTAGGTCTCCACAATAAATCAATTGGATCGTAAGGTAAGCCTTAGATTATAATAATAACATGTTAAGGTTCAATTCTGTAGGCCTACTCATTTAAATATCAAAATCCTAACCAATAGTATATTTAAATAGCCGGTCAATTACTGGTTCACAAATGAAAGTATATAACCAGTGAATGACTGTTTCGGCATTTCGGTCATTAACTGGGTTTGGGTCAATTTTCTTTATTGATATTGATGACTATGTTTTCTGATGGAGTAATCGATTGCTAGTAAACACTAACTCTCATCAGAAATTATGTGGATACACTATAACCAAAGTTTGACTGTGAGTTAAATCTTACGGCCATTTTGTAGATAAAAAGAGATCTTTTACTAGAACCTATATTTTAACAACCCTGATCTGATATAATTATTTTTCACTACAGGGTTTCCAGCTTCGAGAAACTTGAACGGTGAAAAGGAGGTTTAATACAATTTTAAAATTGTTACCTATATAATATGCGGTCATTTACTGGTGCGATGATTTATGTGCAAAAGATGTTATTATTCAAAACTTGTTTTGAACATAGGTTTTACATTAAATTGTATCATCTGGAAGTACAGGGAAATATGGGCGATAGATTTAAACAATTTTGTACAATGTAGCTTAAAAGTAGTACATTTTCCCATGTCATTTACAAGTAAAAAGTCAACTTCAAACCACCATTCACTGGTGCACTCACTCTAGCAGGTAAAAATTGGAAAAATTTTTATAGCCTATGGAGATTTTTTTGTTACAATTACTAGGCCTATGTAGTCTTGGTATATATTAAACTTCATCAGGTAATTTCCTCTTTGTTAATTTAGTAAACATTTGAAAAATCTTCGTAATCCAACCAAGGAAGGGCTTGTGATGATGAACTACAATTAACAGCTGAAGCAAAGGTTGATAGAGCTTTCTCATTATTTTAAGGTTTAGTGTTGCTTTCATTAACACCCGAAGCTGAAACTATCGATAGAATAAAGAAACTAAAAATTGATTACTAATTTCCCTGTCAATCACTTGCAAGCATTCAATAGCTTCTCTTGTCACCGGTAATGTTTAAACGTCGTCTGCATCTAACGATTTTATTTCATCTGACAGTAACCATAGAGTAGCAAATGAAGGAAAAGAGCCAACATTATGGATAACACTCAGATAATAGCCTCCATGTCCACGCAACGTTGTAACAGGTTATGTATGAACCAGCTATATGAAGCTAAGAAAGTAGTTGTTAACATACCCTCCAGGCCTAATTTTCTCGAAAATTTCAGATTGAAAGACAGTAGACTCCCTCTTATCTGGACACCTTTTAACCGGACATCGGTTTACCCGGACTACACTCGGCAGAAATGACATCTCTTTTTAACCGGACTAGATCGGCAGGAAGCGGGCAGTACTGAAACGACTGTTCTCGTGGGAAAGATTTGAGACCAGTGATCACGTGTCTAAATACAATGCTCTCATATATTTAACCCTAGGAGTGGCAGATCGACAGAAAATGTTGATTTCAAAATGTGCCGCTGGAGTGGGGGGCGACAGAATATGTCGATTTATGTAACGTTTTTTTCAGTTGCATGTTAAGCACATTTAAAGTCGGTAAAATGACATAACTCTTATACCAATGGAAAGGATAAGATTCCGAAGTTTCATTTTATTATAAAAATGAACCTTATAACATAAATATATCGATATTATAATGAGTTACATTTAAACGAAAAATACGTGCAAACTCGCGAACACCATGTTTTGTTGCAAAATCGTAAAAGATGAGTCATTTCAAAAATAAATAGCAGACGTCATTTTTGTCTCTAACAAAAGCAAGTGGTACCACTGCAACAATCATGAAGTAAGCTTTTATTCTGTAAAGTATAATGTCATAATACATTCCAACAGCGGATGAAAAATTTTTGTAAATAGCCTATTTTTACGTATTGTTCATGTGGCGGATCGACATAAAATGTCGATTTCAAAATCGCATAAATATAAAATGTGAAAAGTACAAAAACGTTGTTTTATATATGCTCTTGTAGACGAAGGACAGTAGAATTCAATGTTGTTAGGCTGGTCACACAAATAGAAGCTTTTGATTTTTCAACGCTAAAGGAACATTACACTTGTCATCGTCTAACCTAAAATGGCGGCATCGTCGTGAGTTTTTGTCCGATAACAAAGACGAAGTGTGGGTTTTATCCCTAATTTTACAGTGTAATGTTCGTTTTAGTTTATTATTTTGTATTAGGCAAAATATTTATGCATTATTTTGCATAAATATTTATACATGTGTGATCCAAAATAGGATAAAAAGTTAGTGAAGTTTTGTGGGCTATAACAGCTGATCAGTTGTTTTGTTTACATTTTTGCTTTTGTGAAAACCAAATATTCTATTACTTATCTTATTTAGTTATTCTTATATAGAATGATATTACCTATTGGCTTCAAAAAATGTATGGTTTTATCATATTGATTTATTATTAGAGGGCATTTGTGGATCTATCAACGTGTAGGTGTAGAAATTTGACGTTTTCCAATTTTTCCGTATTATTGCTAGTAAATCTATAAAAATAATTCTTTTGTGTATATTATGATACGTCTATGTAGAGGAATAAATTCTGAACAAAATGCATATTTTGAATTGTGCAATAAAAAATTAAGTTACATGTGACACGTGTTTGCTTTTGAAATAAAATTTGAAAAATGTATAAATTTTCTTTTTTTTACTTTTTTCTAAAAATTTACCTCTCTAAAATTGGTTTGTATACCATTTTTGAATTCTACTGACTATTACGAACAAAATGAATATACGGTTCAATAGTTTATCTCTACATACTAAGTTAATTTTATACAGATTTTTAAAGAACTCTCTTACAAATTCACCAAAATGAGCGTGCCACTCCACAAAGCACATATACTGAAAATCGGTCTCGCCACTCCTAGGGTTAAGTTGAATATCACAGTAAACAGTCCGTTTTAGCGAGTTTTTGGGGACGTCGGTTTAACCGGAAAACCAGTTATCCGGACTGGCCTCAGTCCTGAGGAGTCTGGATAAGAGGGAGTCTACTGGAGGTTGTTTCATGTAAGGTTGTGATAAAAATCACTTTCTCAATCAATGTTAATGTAGCGAGAAAGGTGCTTAAATTCCGATATATACAACAAGGCTAGGCCTACCTTAAAAAAAATGTAGTTTCAGTTAACACTACAAACAAAGGGTTATTATATCGATCACGGACATCACACTAAAATTATATTTTTTTCACTATTCTTATGCTAAATAACTTAACATCCTGAATTAAAAAATGATTGTCATTTTCCCAAATGAAGCGAAAAAACTACCTTTTAGCGGAAATGGGTCGTGAGGGTACCGGTACTTAAATTAACCGGTAGAGTGAGCTGAACAAGAAATTCTCAAGATCATGGATAGGCCTATTAACGAAGATACGGCTGGAAAAGCATCATTTTCCCAGGAAAACAATGAAAAATTATATTAGGATACTTCAAAACTCTAATTTTACGCTGATTGGGTTAGGTTATGTTAGCTTAGGTTGGGTTGGGTTAGGTTTAAGTTACCGTAGATTATATTAGGTTAGGTTAGGTTAGGTAAGGTAAGGTTGGGTTATGTGAGAAATGGGTAATTGTTGTAACCTAACCCTATATAACCTAACATAATATAATCTAACCTAACCTTAAGACCTATTTTGGCCATATGGCACTAACTCAATTTCCTGACACTTTTCCGGCTGGCCGTATCTCCGTTAATATCCATCGGATCTTGAAAATAATCTTGTTCAGCTCACGCTACCGGTTAATTTGAGTACCCTCATAACTCAATTTCACAAAAATGTTGTTTTCCGCTTTTCCGGGGAAAATGACAATCATTTTTGAATTCAGGACGTTATTTAGCTTAGGAATAGGTAGGGTAGTAGTGAAAAGAATATAATTTTGGCAAAAGGTCCGTGATCAAAGTAATTACCAAAAAAGTAATGCTCTACTGTAGCATCTCTACATGTAACACGCTTACTTCCCAAGACTGCTGCTAAGTTAGCAAGTCTCAGTATTACCAAAGGGAATGAAGCAGGGGGGAAAACCTAGATGTGACATAAAAAATTACCACAAAAAGGTGTCAAGCAATTTTGAGATTAGGTTCCTTCCACAATGCTACACTACAGTAATTAAGTTAGCCTATAGTTATTCTAAACAATTTCACTGAATTTAAGATAAAACCCCAAAGTACTGGAGTAAGTTTAAGCAAGTTCGCGACTGAATAGAAGTTAAGTTAGATCCCTAATGAGACCCATTTTTGGGTAGTTTCTTAACTGGGCTATGCTAACACCAATTAACTATCAAATTGAAAATATTGATTAACAATGGATATTTTTAAATATATCTACTATAAAATTTAACGGCTGCACTTTACTTTTGGTCCTTCTACACTCATTCGAATGAAAATATCGTTCGATAAATCGATTGTTCGATATATCGGTTGGTTAGTTAGGTAAGGTTAACCTAACATAACTAACCAAACGATAGGATCGAATGAAACAATAAAATAATCGATATTTTCATTCGGTTGTTTGTGTAGGACCTAAAGTAAAGTGCAGCCAATTTAACTATCATAACCTAACCTAACCAACCAAACTTGCTAATGGTGAAAAAATCGCATGAAAGTTTACTAGTCAAATCGATAGTTTCAATTAATATTAGCATAGCCCAGTTAAGAAACTGTACCCCTAGTGGGTAAAATTACAGTAAAGATTAGGCCATATGCAAGAAAATGTACTTACAAAATAAAAAATTATCTTAGTCTTCTGGCTTCACGTTCAGATTCCAATAGGGTTAGGATATCTCCCTCCCTGACTGGACCCTTGACATTCCTAATAATCTGTCGGTTTTGTTCTCCAATAAATTCGACTTTTACTTGCGTACACTGTCCCTGGGAACCTGTACGTCCCAAAACTTTCATTACGCGAGCCAAAACCACGGGTTTATCCATGATAATTGCTTAGAGAAACCACGTGCGAACGAGTTACGTGAGGTCCAGAAAACGGAAAGATGAAGGAAGACGAAAAAGAGGACAACGACAACATTGGCTTTGGCTTGGCGGCAGTGAAGAGAAAACACGTATCGAACATTTTTCCACGATATGAAGCTCGAGACAGACCTCAGAATAAAGCTTGCGTGTAACCATGGATTAAAAATTCTTTACTCAAAGTCACGAATAAAACTAAGACTTTGATTTTTAATACTGAAAGCAGAGTTAGGGTGCTTGGCAGCCCACACCAGCCTCCTTTCACTTCTGAATAGCACCTTTTCGCCTTTGGCTAAAGCATCCACTATCCTCCATCTTTGCAACTCGCCCTTGGAAAGTCGTTTTTCGTTCCTTTCCGGTTTCTGTGAGCTTTTCGTCATCGTCAGATTTCAGTAGACCTTCCTCCTCCATTTGGGTCGGATTGTCTACATTGTTCTCACGAAAACCGGATATCTAAGTCACCTCCCCAGTGACTGGGTTACCCTGGTTCCCAGAAGGCTCCGTTAAGACACTTAATATTAGGCCCCCAGTGGCACAAGCCTCTTGGCACGGATCGCATTACACCTTAGTCTAGGGCCCCACTCACTTGGTTCTGTAGGTGGACCAACATCCAGTGGCAGAAGGTAGCTCTCAGCAGCTAAAAAGTGAGAGTTGGGGTTTAGGTTGTGGCCAATCTGCCGAACCAACCCCGCATGCGAGGTTTGGCCGGAACGGCGCGAAATTTTCACCCACTCACTAAACCCCCATACCTTCCGGTGTCGGTGATGATGTCCCCGTGATTGTAGCCCGCGAAAGACATTCACGATTTAGTCGCGGCCGCGGGTGACAGTGATGTGTCCTCATGATGGAAGCCCGCGGGAGACGTTCAAGAATTAGCTGCTGTTGCGAGTTGTCATTGATGATGTCCCCGTGATTGCGGCCTGTGGGAGACTTTCTTGATTTAGCCGTGGCTGCGGGTGACGGTGATGTATCCTCATGATCGAAGCCCGCGGACGTTCAAGAATTTGCCGCTATCACGAGTGTTGATGATGATGTCCCCGTGATTGCTGCTTCGCGGGAGATGTTCACGGTTTTACTGTGGTCGCGGGGGACGGTGTTGGTGTCATCAAGGTCACAGCTCACGGGATATGATTTCGCCACGGTCGCGAGTGTGTAGGATGATGTCCCTTTGTTGCAGCCCGTGGGGGATTTTTACGATTTTTCCATGGTCATGGATACCTACTGATGGCTTTGACTTGGTTTAGGGGGGATGTCCACGATTTCATCCACGATCACGGGTGTCGATGATGATGTCCCCTTGATGCATAGGAGATATTTGCGATTACTTCCGCGATTGCAATTAAGGAATTTCCACCACAGGAGGAGGGCCGCTCAAGTAATTTGGCCTAGGGCCTCAAGTAACATAAATCCGACACTGTTGCTGCATGGTGTAAACATACGGCTTTATGCTACCAACAGAAGCTGCAGCGGTGTGTCCTATACAGAATCACGGCCGCCTTTGACAGAATACAGCCGCTAAGCTAAGCTCAAATGGACTCAAGAAACATGGACTTTAATTAACCTTTAGAACCAACTACCAATAAAACACAAAAAGCGTTACACGTAAAAATGTTGTTGAAAAAAGTCTGGAGTCTAAATTTAAATGTATGGATTGTCCGGATCTTTATAATATTGGACAAACAGACAGAACCTTTACCCATCGGTACAAAGAACATCGCACCGACCCCAGAGCAGACACACAAAAATCAAAAATCCACCTTTGCCCAACATTAAATTTAACATTAAACATTAAATTATTGGATAAAAATCACACCATATATACAATTGACAAATAACCTGGAAATAATTCGCATTTTTAACAAAGGAAATGAATTGGATTCTTTAGAACAGTTTGAAATCTACAAAAAGCTTCCAAGACAGCCACAATAAAAACCATATTTTAAATGACCAGCTAAATTTCAAATCACACTCTATTTTCAACGTCATAATAACCCTACAACAATAGACAGGAACAGTTTGACCTTTGTAGTCTAATTCGTTAACAGTAGTCATGATTCCAGTAAACCACTCAACACACTAGCTTGTAGCTCTTAAAAACCATTAATCAATACTAACAAATTCGGACAATTTATATTAACACATGGTTTTGCAAGACTTTATCATGGTGTTGTATAAGAATGTAGCAATAATTTTAGGCGTGGAGCTGTTCAGTTTATACCTTAAAATCCTTAAATCCAGCTGATTTTTATCAGATAACTCTAACTTATGGCTAAATTTCTATTTTTGAGTGCAAATAAAAAATCGGTATAAATCAACAACGTCAAACTCAAATAATGTCCTATAATCAATTACTTAATTTTACAAGTACTGTAATGTTGTATTTTTGCTTCTCGTCTGCAGCATAAAACGGCTGTAAGGCCAAAAATTTTGGAGCATGCGCGGAGCCAAAAACGGAGCTGTCAAATGAAGTGTCAAATCGAAATCGCACCAAGATTCATGGTGTCTGTCTGGTGTCAATTTAATTTCCTAATTAGGCTGTAGGCTCTGAGTAGTTCATCTTTAAACCTTTTACTACTGTCCAGAAATATATTTCGATTTGTTATATTGAAATAACATGATATAATTTTAATGGGTGTAATAAGTTCAATCTGGTTTGAATGAATAGTTTTGATATTGAAGCTGACGACAGTAAATACCTCAACTAGGAATGAACGGTCCACGATCGAGGTAAAGAGTTAAATATTATTATTGTTGCAAGACCTTGTGATTTTAGCTTAGACTTTCTTACAGTTTAATTCATTACGACTATAACAATTGCAAAACCAATCATGTATTTTCTTTGGTAATGAAAAGTTGGTTACTTTTGTGTACATTAGCCCCTTCCCTTACTCTAAGAACTAAGAAGAGACTAGGTCTATGTTATTTTATTTCCATGGTAAAATAAGTTACAAAGCTTTTGGAGCTTCACATTAGAGTTTCTTAATATTTGTACTAGGATCATATATATTAGAATATTTTATACTTTATACTTTTCAATGAAATGGCGACCATACAAAGTAGGTATTTTAAGCCAAGTATGAAGTGTAGGATGAGTGGCACGATCTTGTAGTCTTGTTAGTTACTAAGGCCGACATATTCCTTAGACACAGGTGTTAATTAATAGCCCATACAGGTAATGGCAACTAAGGTACCTACAGTTTTTATAGTGGATACCGAACCACGCTTTTGCCTTGGAGTATACAAATTGGTCTAATTATCAGGATAGTACTGCGGATAGTCGTACTACTCACTCGTGCGGATGTTAATCCACACCAGGGAGTATCGCATCCACAGTGCATGCTTATAAATATCCACAATTCTTGACCTCGCAAGTTGCTGGATTACAGGACGACGCCACTGTCCCAGTCTTGTTATCATGTTCCTGCTATCATCCTTCCAGCGTATTAGCTATTACCACTCATGAATAAGAAGGCCAAACATCAGGCAACATCAGCGAATATGCCAATCCCATTATCTTGGGAAACAGCTTACTAATATTTTATGAATTCTGTAGCAAATGTGGTATTTAATAGTTATTTGTGCAACTAGTGAGAAAAGTGAGCAATTGACTCACTCGAGAGAAATCCTTACTCACGAGCCGTAGGTGAGTAAGGAATGGTTTCTCGAGTGAGGCAATTGTACTTTGAACTCGAGTTGCACATTATACTTTTCCTACAGTTACCATAAATCAAATAAATTGGTGAAGAAACATAACCTATTTTTACACAGAAGTGAACTTTTAATATAAAATTTAATGTGAAGTGACAAATACAACAGTACAACAGCTGACCAGCTGATTTACAGCCAGTGCTGCCAACGTATTTCGCGCGCATACGACGTTGCCTGCATGTTACGCGCTCACTATTTCGTGCCTTCACGTTGCAAATCTGGAGTGAGACAAAGTAATTAGAGTGAGACAATGTTAACATTGTCTCACTGATGAGCGAATTGGTCACTTTGCTTTCTCAAATCAGTGAGAGAACATGTACATTGTTAGGTAACTGTAGGAAAAAACATGTTTTAACGTAAACTAGGCCTACTGGTCTACCAAATTTCAAACCTGAGAGATCCCTGTTGAAAATGATACAGGTAACTATTTGAAATTGAATTATAGGGTCAATGAGGCTAATCAATAGACAATAGACAAATAAATTGCCCAGTGTTATACTAGGTTACTTAGTCTCAACTGTCACACTAACATGTGTAACTTATATACTCAGATTAAACTAATAAGTTGTACAAACAGTTAAGTTTTTCTAGTCGTTTATAATTAATCTTAATCACAGTAAAAAAGGGTTATAAAAATAAATTTAAAAAATATTTTATAAAATGTAAAAATAAAAATGGGGATTGTATTCAAAAAATTAATAGGCCTAAGCTTATGCTTAAACTGACCCAGTGGTAAACACCCAACTATAGTTCGGCCGCTTAGAAAGCGACCTCCTCCCGCATTGGTTTAGCATTAGCGCGCAGGTCGTTTTCTAAGCGGCCGAACTATACCATGATTTGAACACAATATCAATCAAACGTGTTTTGTTTGTAAAGCACTTTCTTCAAAGATTAATTTAGTCAGTGCTGCTTGTATTTCAGCATTGTATCTTGTGTGTGTAAGTGAAAAGCAAGGCAAAACATCTGTTAACTGTTAACACAATATGTCGTCAAGGTCATATTTTCCAACAGATGTTTTTCACCTGGGTTTTATGTCTAGATCAAAATTAAATACTTTCTTCTTATTATCCATATATTTTGAGTAAAAAAAGATAATTTTTATGATTTGCTCACAAACTAAACTTAATAGCCTACTTATTCTACATACTATTCATGTGCTTGGTGTAGGCCCTTCTTGCATTTTCCCTACTATAATATCTTCATCTACTCCAATCTTCCTCATATCCATCTCCATCTCCACCCCTTGGCCAACCCCTATTTAATAGCATACATTTCCATTCAGTATCCTTGTCTCAATTACTTCTTCTTTTTTGTAAAATAAATGGTTACTACTAGGTACCTACCTATTTTAATTCTTCACATCTCTACTCAAATTTTACAGGTTAACAACTCACACTCTTCCTGATACATTGGATTCAATATTTGAATATTTAGGGGTTTCCAACAAGTTCTCTAGTTAGCAAACCCTCTTTTTTGTTAGTGTCTACACCAAGCCATTTTGTATGAAAAAATCACAAACACTATTATTTAGATAATGGGAAACATACCAAACCCCTAAGGCCGGTGCCACACTATCCTGTTTTGCCGGTCCGGTCAAACGGGACACGTTTGGCAGGTGGTATGATTCAAATTCATGGGTTTTAATGGGTGCGATCACATTTTTGCGGTTGCGGTGCTTCGACGGGATCCACCCCATGCTGCTGCAGCGTAATGGGATGACCGGACGACGGGAAAAACGGCGAAACATGCAGTTAAATGAGAGCAGTCACATGAGAGCAGTCACACCATCCCGTTTTTCGGCGCGTTTGTCCCTACTGTTGTGGCTATAAACAGTGCATGAGATGCTCGCCCTCTTCACTCGAAGTATGTTGCGGTAGAGCAGGAAGGTGTGTCATGGCAATGGCAATGCGGTAAAAATGCATCCTGCTAAACGGGATAGTGTGGCACCGGCCTAAAACTTTTTCGATGCTATGGGAATCAAACCTGTCCCTCTCGTACCCTCTCTGTCCAAGAGGCTAACCACAAGGCTAGGCTAAGATCTTGCCAACTCCCCTCTTGGAGCAATTTCATGATTAAAACATAAACGCTTTCAACTCCGCTCTACCATTTTTTGACTAGGCCTATGTGTTCATCAAAGACAATACAGTTTTTATGCTGTGTTGCAGATCAGCGGCACATGGAGATCCCTTGGGGAGATGGGCGGATCATCATTCTCACAGACAGAACTCCACTGTAAGCAAGATGCAATATCACTTCTGGGTCACGAAGCAGACTGTGTCGCGTAAGCTGGGCAAGAAGGAAGATGACTGCATTGTGGCCAGCGATGCTGAACTGGACGCCAAACTGGAGTTGTTTCTCAGCATCCAACTCAGCTGTGCTCAGCTGCTCAAGATACTGGATGAATACCAGAAAAAGAGCAACTGTAAGTAAATCTGTTGAACTAGTTACAATAGATTTTGTTCACTAGGCAAAATATTGTTTTAAGGACTTTATTTGAATGTTAGTAGTCTACACTGCACCATTGCATGTTCACAGTACAGAATGGAACTTCCATAGCCACCTATTTAAAATGGAAGTTTGAACAGTAACTCAAGCTGTCCTGAAAGCGCTCATCATGTAGTGTACTTTAATTTTTTTTTTTTTTTTTTTTGCCATACTAACTAACTTTACCAAAGTCAAAATACCAATCTACAAAAAGCTTAAAGTTACAGAAATAAGTAAGAATGTATTTCAGTGTTTACACAAGGGTGGTGAGGGCAGTTGACATAACCCGAATGACAACAAGCCTGATGTTTCCTGTTATGTGGATATCAGAATTAATGTTATCTTATATATTAAACAAACTTGGTTTCTCTTTGCCGAGTTCGTTTGGCTCTTCTACCCGACTGATTTTCATGATTGAGGTCTCAAATTGAAGCTATGCACACACAGATTTGCCATCAAGCATTGGCATATATTTAACTATATTCCCACTCGGTGTATACGTAAACAAAATTTGCTCCCCATGTATTTCTTTTGGGAATTAAATTTGGTTTCTGTTTTTCGAGTTTGTTTGGCTCTTTTACCCCATTTTTATCATTAAGGTCTCAAATTGAAGACATGCACGCCAAGTTTTCACATCAAGTATTGGCAAATATTCACCTACTGTATTACTCGACCATATCACATAGTTTGATTTATTTATAACGCACAATTATTACTTCAATTTAATATGCATTTCACCAGTTATAATTATATATTCCTATATATTTTAGTCTAAGAACCTTCAGTGAAATACCGGATTTCGTTTGTAAAGCTATTAGTTATTCAAATCGGACGATTTTCAAGCAAACGCAAGGTGAACAACCAACATAAAAATTATTTTTCATAAGGTTTTTCTATGATTAAAAATCAATAGCTCCAGTAGCCTATTTTTAATGTTTTTCCATATGTTTTAGACTCAAAATAGTATCGTGTATAGCGGAGTCGGAGAAAAGTTGTCCTTGAGTGTGTTCGCACCTAAAACTCAAGAACCGTTGCACTTATAGCGTTCAAATTTTGCACAAATAGTTATGACACCAGTGTAAAGACACCATTAAAATTCTAGACGATTCCGCTCAGTAGTAATTATAAAATACTTAAAAAAACATTTTTAAATTTGTCGCATAAGAATAACATTAGGAGCCACCTTCTTCTTCTTTTATTTGTTTACGTTTTGCGACCGACAATTTTGTCGTCTTCTTAAGGCAGAGAGAACGACTTTTACTCTAAGCTCTTTCATTCATGAAGTAAACAGTTTGGCGTCTATGAATATATATCATTATAATTTCACAGCTTTCAGAATAATGTTATTTAAGCTAATTAAATTTCACAACTTTTAGAATAATAAATAGAACTTGACAATATTAGTCGGCAGTTATATACCGTTTATGTTCAGTATTAAAATTCACCTTTAAATTAAAAGTATATAGGTATGTATGTATTTAGAACAAAGCAGCTTTTTATATTATTCAATTTAATGTTGGCATTGAATATTAAATATTCAAAGATGTTGGTATATTTTTATACTAAAATGCTATGTGAAGGGGGGCAGGTCCCGACGTCGAGAGTGGTAAAGGAAGCGGAAAGGTGAGCAGTGAAAAGAAAGGAGTACGGAAACCCTTTATGACTGTTAAATTAATGTATCTGTAATACTTAAATGCTATGGAAAGATAGGGAAACAGGTCTACGATGTAGGAAGTAGTGAAGGAAATAGTGAAGGAAGTAGTCAAGGCGAGCGCTGCGGAGTGTGGGGGGCCTTTATGACAGTTCGAATAATGTATCTGCAATTCTAAAAATGCTAAGGGAAGGGAGAGAAACAGGTCCACGACGTAGGAAGCGGTAAAGGAAGTAGTCAAGGCGAGCAGTCCGGAGTGTTGAAACTCTTTGTGGCAGTTATATTAATATACCTGCAATACTAAAATGCTATAGGAAGGGAAGGAAACAGGTCTAGGACGTAGGAACCGGTGATGGAAGTAGTCAAGGCGAGCAGTCCGGAGTGTATAAACTCTTTGCGACAGTTAGATTAATATACCTGCAATACTAAAATGCTATAGGAAGGGAGGGAAACAGGTGTACGACGTAGGAAGTAGTAATGGAAGTAGCCGAGGCGAGCATTCTGGAGTGTAGAAACCCTTTGTGACAGTTAGATTAGTGTAACTGCAATTCTAAAATGCTATGGGGAGGGAGGGAAACAGGCCCATGACGTAGGAAGTTGTAATGGAAGTAGTCGAGGCAAGCATTCTGAAGTGGGTAATTTCTTTGTGACAGTAAGATTAATGTAACTGCGATATTAAAATGCTATAGGAAGGGAGGGTAACAGGTCCACGACGTAGGAAGCGGTAAAGGAAGTAGTCGAGGCGAGCAGTCCGGAGTGTAGAAACCCTTTGTGGCAGTTAGATTAATATACCTGCAATACTAAAATGCTATAGGAAGGGAGGGAAACAGGTCCACGACGTAGGAAGTAGTAATGGAAGTAGCCGAGGCGAGCATTCTGGAGTGTAGAAACCCTTTGTGACAGTTAGATTAGTGTAACTGCAATTCTAAAATGCTATGGGAAGGGAGGGAAACAAGTCCACGGCGTAGGAAGTGGTAATGGAAGTAGTCGAGGCAAGCATTCTGGAGTGTAGAAACCCTTTGTGACGGTTAGATTAATGTAACTGCAATATTAAAATGCTATAGGAAAGGAGGGAAACAGGTCCACAACGTAGGAAGTGGTAATGGAAGTAGACGAGGCGAGCATTCTTGAGTGTAGAAACCCTTTGTGACAGATTAGTGTAACTGCAATTCTAAAATGCTATGGGAAGGGAGGGAAACAGGTCCACGACGTAGGGAGCGGTGATGGAAGTAGTCGAGGCGAGCAGTCCGGAGTGTAGAAACCCTTTGTTACAGTTAGATTAATATACCTGCAATACTAAAATGCTATAGGAAGGGAGGAAAACAGGTCCACGACGTAGGAAGTGGTAGTTGAGGCGAGCATTCTGGAGTGTAAAAACCCTTTGTGACAGTTAGATTAATGTAACTGCAATTCTAAAATGCTATGGGAAGGGAGGGAATCAGGTCCACGACGTAGGAAGCGGTGAAGGATATAGTCAAGGTGAGCAGTCTGGAGTGTGGGAACCCTTTGTGAAAGTTAAATTAATCTATTTGAAATTCTAAAATGTTATAGGAAGGGAGGGAAACAGGTCCACAACGTAGGAAGCGGTGAAGGATGTAGTCAAGGTGAACAGTTCAGAGTGTGGGAACCCTTTGTGAAAGTTAAATTTATCTATTTGAAATTCTAAAATGCTATAGGAAGGGAGGGAAACAGGTCTACGACGTAGGAAGTGGTGAAGGAAGTAGTCGAGGCGAGCATACTGGAGTGTAGAAACCCTTTGTGATAATTAAAATAATGTACAGTATCTGCAATTCTAAAAATGCTATGGGAAGGGAGGGAAACAGGTCCACGACGTAGGAAGTGGTGAAGGGAGTAGTCGAGGTGAGGAGTCTGGAGTATGGGAACCCTTTGAGACAGTTAGATCAATGTATCTGCAATAATAAAATGCTATGAGAAGAGAGGGAAACAGGTCCACGACGTAGGAAGTGGTGAAGGAAGTAGTCAAGGTGAACAGTCCAGAGTGTGGGAACTCTTTGTGATTTACTCTTTGTGATGGGAACTCTTTGACAGTTAGATTAATGTATCTGCAATAATAAAATGCTATGAGAAGAGAGGGAAACAGGAAATACATTACGTATATTACCAATGACTTTGGTTAATTAATAGACGAGAAGTTAGGATTGTTGTTGACTGAGATTTGGTTTTTTTAAGAGGTTGACAGCCTCTTTTAACCTTGCATTAGCCCGTCCACATAGACTAAGCGCCCGTGCGTGGATCGTTTACAGCAAAGCAAGGGGTGAGCCGGTACAGGACAAAAGTGAACTGTACTGATAAAATTTAGTGGCAGTGACCAGGATCCGAACCCACGACTTCGCTGCCTTGGGCCCGAAGTCCGCGACGCTACCGACTGAGCCACCGACTCACCATTATTTGCCCCGACTCATGGGTTGATTTGCCCATACAAATAACATTATTGTGTTTACCAGTGACACCGGTAAGTAGGCTAGGTGTGGGTGGACTCTTTCATTATTGCGCTCATGTTCACTCATCCCGTTACGCGCAGAATAAGCGTACTACTAGTTAGTTAATTATTGGCTTTAAATTGAGCTATTTATAGTTTGAATCAGTTAAGCTCAAGCATAGACTAACCAACACAAGTAGACTTCTCATCCCATTGTAAATTTTGAAGCACGTTTTTTTGTCTAGTTCATTTACGTGACACTGGGCGCTAGTGTCGACGAAACTTTGTTTCTATTATTTTAGGGTTAATTTCTTGATTTGTGCTTTACTGTTTGGTTATATAACTAGGGGACAAGTTATTGTTTATGATTAGATCGTATTATTTGGTTAAACGAGGTTTTAAATGGCTGTAATAACGGGAAACAAATTGTAAACAAAACATACATAAACCGTACAGAACTAACAATAAAATTGTCTTCAGCTGTTCCATAAGGATGAGAAATCTACTAAGGGAGTATGTTTTATCTATGGCTCAAGATACTGTATTGCTCAAGAAAAAACATAAATTTGAATATTTCTCGGATATTATATTTATTTTAACGCTGCGGAGCAGCATGGGTCCTCTAGTTTAAATAGAAAATAAATCTTAAAATTTAAGGGAATATTTTAGTCCTGATAAAGTAAATGGGAATTTTCTTAGTGTGCAGGTTTGAAGGTACATACCCCATGTAATTTGTGAACTTCACATATTGTATTTTTTTAGCCTTAGCCTATGAAGAAAATTCAATGGGTCGGTTTTTAAAAGAATCAGCAAAACTTGATGATAAAACAGAAGCTGGAAAAATGATGGCTGTTGTTGGGAAAACCCTCTCAACAACCGGACAACAACGACTTGCCTTCCAGGACCCTCTGAGAGCTTTGCAAAAGGTAATTTGGTGTAATAAATATTTTTGTGTGTAGGTTGAGATTTAGTGTTTGCTATTATTCATGCCTGTGTTATTTTCTGAAGATTTGAGATGCACAAATAGTTAAAAAAAAGCAAGAGGTGTGAACCTTTCAAAGTAACCTACTTTTCTCGCATCAAAGATTGGGATTCTAAAATATAACGTCTTTCCTAAAATTAAAATTAAAAGAACTACAGTAAAGTATAAAAATTATTATCAAGTGTGCTCATTAAGTTGTAAAATTGTTGTAGCCATAAAAAAGAGAGTAGTGTCTGGTCTGGAATGATGAGTGGTGGTATTAGTATCATGAAAGCGAATGAAATAAGGCCCAGTTTCATGTTGAATGTACCATTCCTGCCTGTGCATATTCGTCAGCTGCAACTATATCCATATATTCATTCATTTAAGTAAGTGTTATAGGTGTGTAACTCATTTAACTAATTCAATTTTATAAATATTTTTGCTTTTGCTTACGGTAGTATAACCAAAGTATTTTTTCATGTAGAAAGTGGAGTCGTTCCAAGCCCATGCCATTGCAGACACGTTCCATACAATCCAGGAGATGGAGAAGACAAGGACCAAGTACCGAGCGGTCCTTAACTGGATGAAGGATGTCTCCAAACAACTTGATCCTGAAAACCTCAGTCTCATGGACAAGCACAGGAAGGTGAAAAACTCATCAGTTTTTTTTCTTTTTTTTCTTATTTTTTTCAGAAAATTGAACCTTTTGAATCTAAAAATGAAAGTTTTAGTTTCTGCATTTAATTTTAACTTCTCTTATACAGAGATTACTTTATGATCCATACACATTGAATGAGACCAACCCCTGGACTGTTGTGAGTAGCATAATCTTTTGGTTCTAAAATGTTGAGACAAAACTGGGTTGCAAATATTGACCATTGCTCTTACCACAGATGTATTCAGTTCCAACCAACAGGAGAGCGTCAGCTTTGCAATGCACTTCATTTCAGAGTTTTTAGACAGGTAAACAGACAATATAACTTTATGTAGCCTTCTGATTTATGTAATTTTATTTAGCTTTTATGATGTTAACAAAATAATATGTTATGTTTCCCAGGTTCAAGATCATGTGAAACAAAGTCGAGCAGAGTTTGAGCGACAAAAACTTGACTGCTTACAAAAGGTATTTTATTTTAAACTCTACAAATTTGGTTAGTAAAATGACAATATGTAGCCTAAATATTGAAAATCAACTAACTAATGTGTATTGCTTTAAATTGAGCGTAATCAAGGTATACTTCTTGTACTACCAGTGGCGGCTAAAGGGGGGGGGGGGCCAAGCCCCCCTTTATATGAAAACAGTAATATTAAATTACCTAAGACAAGTTGAGTCCGCTCTCCGCGTTCCTCTCTCCGCTCTCCACTTCCACGCCTAGGAAAACCCGGCTTTTATCAATAAAATGATTTGAAGTCACTAATAAGACTACAAGATCGCGCCACTCATTCTACACTCATCTCCATTCATACTTGGCTTAAAATACCTACATTCGTATGGTCGCCATTTCAAAGTAAAGTATTAAAATATTAATTAAATTTTTTTTAAAGTGTGGAACTAGGTGACGTGTTTGCCTTTACTGAAACTGTGCTTTATTGTACACAATTTTGGTTAAATGCTCAATTTCATGGTTAACCTGAACTGGACGGGAGTGTTGCACGACGTCCAAGTGCCACGACGTCCAATAATATTTTTCCAGTGCCACGACGTCCAAAACATAACTTTTGAGTTGTTGCATGACGTCCAAGTGCCACGACGTCCAAAAGTACAGTAACTGCCAAAAATATAGTCTTTCTACAAGCTTTGGACGTCGTGGCACTTGGACGTCGTGAAACAGCGCACTATATAATTGTAAAGACGTATCATTTGCACCACGTCCAAAGCCTCTGCCAGTTGCACGACGTCCAAGTGCCACGACGTCCAATCAATATTTGACTGTTGCACGACGTCCAAGTGCCACGACGTCCAAAGTGCCTGCACACTGTGAACACTGTTTGCCGACCTCAGTGCATACAGTTCGCATTGCAATTATTGAAGGCAACTAGTCCTAGTCAACTGTTTGAAAGTTGTCAACCGCTTCGTCTTCGATTAATGTTTAAATTATTCAATATTCAATAGTTCTAATTGAACTAATTATTGCATTAGCTTAATTTTTTTATATGTAAAATAAATACTATGTCACCGTAAAATGTAATGATGCAGTATTTCTGTTGTTATGATTGCATCATTGATTTCTACAAAATATCAATGCTATGTCATAGAAACGAAATAAATAAATGACTACCTACACTATTCACTATATACTATAATACAATAAATTAATCACTAGCCCAAAAGTAAATATGGTTGGTTTAATGTGAGTAGTGGTAGAATTCTAAGTACTGCAGTAGAATAGAATTGTCATACTATATCAATTGGTAGCAAATTTACTCGTAAGATAAAATGGTACTTTCCTGTTAAAGGGAACATTCATTATTATCGATGATTTTCAATCGATATATCGATATTTTTCTTTCCCTTTACGATCCATTACAAATTGACAACTTTCTTGTTTAGGCTAAAATCAAGTCTATTATGGATTAAAACTGTTCTAAGCTAACCTAACATAACCAACCAAACTTGCTGAACTATTTTAAAAATTCCGTTTGATTACAGAAAAGGCATGGTGGGAATATTAAACGGAATTTTTACAGCAAGTTTGGTTAGTTTTATTAGGTTGGTTTGGAATGGTTTCATTTCAATATTTTTTTTATACTGAACAATATTTATTTATCGTAGTTGTCAGCTGATAGGTTTCAAATCGTTAATATCGATATATCGATTGAAAATCATCGATAATAATGAATGTTCCCTTTAACAGGAAAGTACCGATAAAATGTATGCACAGTTTTATAACAGCTGTAAGACTTCCCATTTAAGTACCGGTATCATTGAAATTGTATAACTTCCATTGAACAGAAATGAGATAAGTGGATATTGATACACAGATATATGAATTTTCATACACTTATAATATGACGAATTCAAAAAAGTTTTATCCGTCAAATGTGCTAAATATTATGTAAACTATCAACTTTTTAAGCTATAATGATGTTACTACAATGGTTAAAAATGTTTCCTGTGAAACAGTGGGAATAATTCGTTTTAAAAGAAATCATTCATCATGGATATAGGAAATAATTAAGATTCTATAATCATTGCCCTATCAACCTAGGCCCTTTTCCTGAGTGTTATGAGGTTTATGTTTTGATTTATTTTTGTGTAAACCGTAATATAATCCCCCTGCCACAGCAAATCTGTAGACTGAATTTCCATTTGCCTGATTATATAATTTCACTAAAATATGTTAGAAAATTGCCCTTTTTCCATATTTATTTATATTTTCATTTTCCTATTTTACCTATTTGTCGGTATGGAACTATTGTGATAGCTTTTTGTTTACAGTGCAAACCATGGATGTATGGATGGATGGATGTTTGTGACAAGCAAACGCGAAAAATACTAAACCGACAAGGTTGAAATTTGGTATGATGATAGATGACATCCCCGATTAACATATTCTTACCTCAAAAATTCTTTCAGTCTCCACCCCGGTGGCTCTGGCTCTGGACTTTCTCTAGTTAACCTTATGAGAATTCATATTTAAAAAAATTAAAGAATTTTGTCAGCCGTTTCAACTGTACAAGTTGGTTCTATGATATTAAACAGCATTAAAAAGTTATAAGGCTTGCCAAACAGGGTGCAGCACTATTATGTTGTTTGTTTGCATTAATGACCTCAGCTAATTTGAACCAACTAGCAAAAAAAAGATGTGGTACACAATGAGAACTTTACTTTTTCCATGGTCTAGGTGCAAGAACATCAGGACTATGGTAGATGTGTGCTACACAATAGGATACCGTATAAATTAAGAGACCAGTTTTTTTTTTTTTTTAATCGTGTCCTCTTCCATTACTGCAATAAGCATTTATACTTATATGTCAACCCCGTACGAAGGACGGGTACTCTGCTAGTAACACAATAATACAAATACAGTATACTAATACAATAATACTGTAGGTATCCGTAGTCTGTGACCATAGGTTCATCTGAACTGTCAATCAATTCTGAGAAATTCACAGTTGTAAATTCTTACTAGTCTTTTTCTAGGTTCACGTCGCACTCGCAATTAGTTCGCATGTTTTATGTAGGAAAACAGGTATGCCCTAAGTCATAGCATTTGTAGGTTAAGTATAATAATAACAAACATGCTTATCGTAGGTTTGTAGGCATACTTGTTCAAGAATATGCCGTAGTAGGTTTTGTTTATAAATTTTATGTTTTAATTCTTGTCTAATGACGATATTGATTTGTATTAGTGCGAAAATGTTAATTTATTTGTCAAGGGCATGAGCGGCCCTCTAGTCTATGTATGTTACATGAAGCACAACATGAAAAGGAATAAATTAAAGGAAGGTAAAAAACGGATCAGTTGCTGAAGGTCTAAATCTCGGAAGGTCTAATCAGACCTTCGACACACATTTTGCAGTTTGTACTTGATGCTGAGGATCCCATGAATCCTGTACAAAATAAAACAAATGTTTCATTCAAACTACAATTTTATTACTTTTCCGAGAACCAGCCTTTATCAGGACTTCCGCTCCCACGCTAGTTGGCAACGTCAACTGTGCTATATGAAAACAATAAATCTTGAGTAAATATACTGTAATGTTGAATTTTGAGGTTGTGGTGTTCCTTCGTAAACACATTCAATTATAATCTAGGAATATGTAAATTTATTGTTATACGTTAACTTTATTGATATTCGATTCGCTACAGTACTATTAAACCTATAACATTTTCAATTCATGTGCGTTGTATTTTAGAGTTGGGGAAACAAAAGAACCCTGTGTGCAACTTATTTATATGATACTAGCTGTTGTACCCGTGCTTTGCAATGGGAAGAGGACACAAAATAGAGACATTTTAATCTTTATCTCTTGTATATAATAGTTACACATCCGCCAACGCTTTTAGAAACAAAATTCAACTTTTATGGCCTTAATAGAAACGTTTAAGTTATGAATTTTAAATCTGGTAAGTAGTGGATACCACCATTTTGGTTTTGATTATTAGCGAATTTCCCTATAGGGAAGTAGCTATTACCGTAGGTGGCACGGTAAGACCTAGACCCGGGACCGATTTACTTTTTCATTTTGATGTCCCCAGAGGCCAAAAAAACCATTCGTTCAAATTTTTATTTATGTATATATATATATACTAGCTGACCCGGCGAACTTCGTATCACCTAAGTTATAGGTTTCCCCTAAGACAGACCGATGGAAAGAAAGTACCGTTACGTTTAATTTTCAAGATGATCTCGTTCGCATCGCTCAAACACGTCCTGGTTGAAGTTCGTTCGCTACGCTCACTCACCTTTGGGTTGGAGCTCGTTCGCTACGCTCACTCACCTTTAAGTTGGAGCTCGTTCGCTGCGCTCACTTGCCTTCAGGTTAGCTCGTTCGCTACGCTAACTCGCCTCCAGGTTAAAGTTCGTTCGCTACGCTCACTCACCTTTTGGTTGCAAATTAGCTGTTGTCATAAATGTAAAAGAAATAATAGTGCTGCACCCTGTTGGTAATCCTTGTAACTTTAATGCTATTGAACATCATAGAACAGAACCAACTTGTTTAATTGAAACAGCTGTTAAGATTCATTAATTCCATTTCTCATAAGAATAACATGGGAAACTCCAGAGCCACTGGGGCGGAGCCCTTTTAATAATTTCGAAACGGGAAATAGTTTACGTCCGATTCGCATACCTACAGAATTTACACACCAAATTTCATAACGATCGGTGAAGTCGTTCCGGAGGAGTTTGCAGACAAACACTGTGACACGAGAATTTTATATATTAGATATACGTCCGTGAACGCGATAACTTGAGTAATTTTTGTCCGATTTTGATGAAATTTGGTTAAAATGTGTAAAGCGGGATAAACTTGAATGAGTTCGCGAACCAGCATGATCGGGCCATGGGAACGGGGCTTTACGGGGGGTTTTATGGGGTAAAAATTGGTTTTTTCTCACTTTTGACCCTCAAAACACAAAATTTTCCAATTTCTCTTTAGACCCTTTTAAAGAGCTTA